AAAAAAAAAAAAAAAACAGCACAGCACAGCGGCGCACGACCTCCCTCCTGCATCGCCAGATCGGGACCCTGGGCATTAACTACAAGCGTGTGAAAGCCTGGGGATAGCTAAGCGTGCTAAGCACCTGCAGCTACCGAGCTGGAGGTAGGTGGGTGGCAAACAGGCGGCGGGTGCCGTGCAGATCTAGCGGAAAAAGAGACACACAAAGCGAAGGCGAGCGAAGGCATCGTCGATCTGGCCAGTCGCCGGCGTTCTAGAAGCCGCGTGAGGCGATGTGGGAGCGGCCACGCGGCTAAGGCTGAAGGATGCGAGGGTCCCCGCGCTGACGTCATGGCTGGCTGTTGCAGGTCGTTCGGGCGAGTGCCTGAGTAGAGTAGGTCTGGTCTTGTCTAGGTCTTGCCACCTCTCTATCTCTCTAGGTACCTACCTACCTACAAACAACAACAACGACAACAACAGCCCCCACCCAACTGCCAGAGCCCAGTGCCGGCCCTACTGCACAGCCAACCCCACAATAAAGTACGCCATAATACAATGCTCGTACCAGTGGAGCTCGACAATGGCCCGAGCCGCAATCGCCGCGCGCTTCCTGTTGCGGCAGCGCCCACGGCCGGAAATGGCGCGGGACGGGCGACCGCCTCCCCGATGCAGGCAGGATCAGGATCAGGATCGGGATCGGGATCGCGCCTGGATAACGGGCAATGGGCAATGGGTTTTGGGTTGGACCGTTGGTGGCCAAGCCACCTCAGGATCTGAGCATCTGCTTGGCTTGCGCTGTCTGTGCGTGCTGTGAGGCGCGATGCGTTGGATGCGCGTTGCGCGATAGACGGCGGTGGCGGCTGCACCCCTACTCGAGTAGGAGTGCCTGATAGACAGCGCCACACGCTTTCGCGCCCTGCTAACTATTGGCTGCCTACCTGTGTGCGTACACGAATCGGCTTTGGTCAGCGTTGGCCAATAGCCCCAACGGCCGTGCGCACCCCAACCCCACGGCACGCTTCCTCTCTAGGTATACGACCCTGTATCATGTATGTGTGAGCGGTCTTAATGCGTGTGCGTATGGCGCTTAGCCGGGTGGATGGTTTGTTTCTCCTGTGGCTGCGTGGCGGTGGTGAGAGAGGTTGTGAGGCGAGTTTGATCTTGATGGTGATGGTTTGGTAGATATGCTTCAGTTCGTCTATGGTAGGGATATCAATCACTGCGTGCGGCCTCACTCGCTCACTCACCATCACCCACACCCACCGTGCCTCCCTCCGTCTCTCATCCCCCACGCCCATCCATCTCCTAAAAAGATCCTCTCTCTACACCGTCTCAATATACCGACTAAACTCCCAATCCGTGACCGCCTCCTCCCACAACCTACACTCATGCTCCCTCGTCCCCGCAAAATGGTCCACAAACTGATCGCCCAACGCCTCCCTCGCCACGCTGCCGGGCCTTGCCATCCGCGCCGTCGCCTCCTTCAAGCTCTTGGCCAGCCTCTCGCCCTTGTCCCCCTCGCCGCCCATGTCCTGCCCCTTGCCCAGCGGCGGCACCGCTATCTCCAGCTTCTTCTCGACGCCGCGCCAGCCCAGCGCCAGAATCGCCGCGAGCACAAAGTGCGGGTTCGTGTCGGCGCCGGGGACGCGCACTTCGAAGCGCGTCGCTTTTGGCGAGGCGGTGGGCGGCGCGATTAGTCGGATTGACGCTGCCCGGTGCTCGAGGCCCCAGGACACCGTTACTGGCGCCCAGAAGTTCTCGACGAGCCGCTTGTAGCTGTTGATTGTGGGGGCGAGGATGGGCATGATGTCCGGGAGTCCGTCGAGCAGCCCGGCTAGGAAGTGTCGCCCTAGGTCCGACAGGTGCCGCAGGTCCGGGTATGGCGGATTGGGGTCCTCGGTCTCGCGCGCGAGCAGGTTCTTTCCTGAGCTGTCGACGAGCGAGACGTGCATGTGGCCGCTGTTGCCTGGCAGCCCGGCGCGCGGCTTCGCCATGAAGCAGGGCGTGATGCCATGTTTGGAGCCGATGGACTTGACAGTCAGTCTGCAGGCGGTCAGCATTCAGCGCTGGGTTGTGCGGCAAAGGGTGGTGTTACGCACTTGAACAGCGCCGCCTTGTCGGCCATGGCGGTGATCTCGCCGAACTCGAGCGCCTATGCGTGTCAATTGCGCCTCCTGGTATGCGTCTCAAGCCAAGCTACTCACTGCCTCGTATACGCCCGGCCCGCTCTCCGTGTGCCACCCCTCGATGCCGCAGCCGAACTTGGCGCACGCGTCGAAGACGCCATAGTAGTAATCCTGGTTCTGAATCGGCCGCGTCAAGCTGTATCCGAACATGCCCTCAGTAAGCGCGGGCAGCTGGTGGGCGGGGTTTTGTTTGAGGAAGGCAGCCGTCGCAGACGAGTTGCGCTCCGCGCCGCCAGACTCCTGATCGGGTGCCTTGAACTGGTAGAACTCGTACTCGGCTGTAAGAAGTCGCGCGATGTTAGCCTAATGCTGACGCGTGGCAACGACGCGACGACGTACCTCCAGCCATGGCGCCCATGCCATTCTCCTTCAGCTTGTCGACGGTGCGACGCAGGAGGCTGCGCGGGCACACGCTGAGGGTGGATCCAGTATCCGGATCATGGAAGCTGACGAGGAAGAAGGGCACGTCGTTCTCCCAGGGGATGCGGCGGAAGGAGGTCAAATCGGGGACGGCGATGACGTCGCGGTAGCCATTCTTGGCGTTGCTGATGGCCAGCTCCTTGAAGTACGTCTGGTCGTGCATGTCCCAGCCGAAGATGACAGAACAAAAGCCGAAGCCCTTTTCAGCGATGGACAGGAACTTGGACTTGGCCATCAGCTTGCCGCGCAGGACGCCGTCGACGTCGACGCCGGCCACCTTGACGGCAGCATCATTCTGGAGCAGCTCGGGGAGGCTAGCGAGGGTGACTTCGGGAGACGACATGGTGGTGCTCTGTTGAAGAAGCGAGAGGATGGGGGGTAAAGGAGGGAGGGAGTCGAGAGCGTAGGCAACCCGTAGCTTGCGACGACATGGTGGTGGGGAGCGAGGCTAAGGCGGGCGAGGCGTGCGCATCATAGCTCGGCCTTGTTCCGAGCAATGTCGCATGCAGCCAATCAGCCGAGGCGCGCATGCCGACATGGTGGTGATGCAGCATTACCTAGTACCTACTTTGTATTACCTCTCTCACGCTCGTTATCAGGTCGTCCATGGCCTCACCGACTCGCAGGAGCTCGTCGTCCCCCGCACTTGGGTAGACGCCATCTCGCTATCAGTGGGCCGGACCCGCCATTCGGCGATAGCCAAACAACCGGTCCGACATGGCATCATCTGATGGAGCCTCGAGCTCAATCAGCTTAAGCTCCAGTGGCTCCCTCACATCGTGTCACTTTCACCCCTCGTCCCCAACATACACCACCAAAGCCTCCTCCCCCAGGTAAAGCCCTTCAACAGAGCACCCACAATGGCCTCCCAAGCTCCCCGCGGCCGTCTCGCCGGCAAGAACTGCGTCGTCACCGGCGCTGCTGGGTAAGTCCCTCTCAAATTCTTTGACGTGGCATTGTAGAAAGAGAAGGGAGACCTATCGACACATTACACCTGCTCAACATTACACGTTGCACAAACCATAGTACAAACCACCGTCATACCCTTCCCCAGCTTCAAATTCCCACCCCACCATTGTCCACACACTAACTCACCATGACAGTGGCATCGGCCTCGAAACGACCATCCTCTTCGCACGCGAGGGCGCCAAGGTCCTCATGGCCGACGTCTCGGGTCCGGCGCTCGAGAAAGGGCTCGCGAAAGCGAAGGAGCTGGCGCCGGCAGACGCAGTCATCGAAACCAAAGTGACGGACGTATCGAGCGAGGCGAGTGTGGAAGCCATGATCGCGCACGTCGACGCCTGGGGCGGGCTGGACGTCATCTTCAACAACGCGGGCATCATGCACGCCGACGACGCCGACGCCGTCGACACGCCCGAGAAGATCTGGGACCTGACGCACAACATCAACGTCAAGGGTGTGTGGTTCGGCTGCAAGCACGCCGTCCTGTCCTTCCGCCGCAACGCCAAGCCCCGCGGCTCCGTCATCAACACCGCCTCTGTTGTTGCGCTCGTCGGCTCCGCCACGCCCCAGCTCGCGTATACCGCCTCCAAGGGCGCCGTGCTGGCTCTTACCCGCGAGCTGGCTATCGTGCATGCGCGCGAGGGCTTCCGCTTCAATGCCCTGTGCCCTGCGCCGCTGAAGTATGCTCCCTTCCCTCCGCCAACTGAAAAAAAAAAAAAAAAAAAAAAAAAAAAAAAAAAAAAAAAAAAAAAAAAAAAACACCCCCGCTAACATCCCCCCCAGCACGCCCCTCCTCCAAGACTGGCTCGGCGACGACCAGCCCAAGCGCCACCGCCGCGAAGTGCACTTCCCGACGGGCCGCTTCGGCGAAGCCATCGAGCAGGCGCACGCCGTCGTCTTCCTCGCCTCGGACGAGTCCTCCTTCGTCAACGGCACCGACTTTGTCGTCGACGGCGGCATGACCAGGGTACGTACCAGCCGCTTTTCCCTCTAGTTTGCTCTGGATAACTTACTGACTTCGCGTGCTTGCAGGCCTACGTCACACCCGAGGGCGCCGCGGCCCCGGCGCCGCAGAACCTGGCGAGCGGACGTTAGGCGGAGCCGTAAGGCGGAGCCGTAAGGCGGAGCTATTAGGTGTAGCTCTCAAGCGGGCGGGCATCAACATCTGGAGACATAGATCCACTTAGCAGCACACAGATACAGACCCAAACCAGACGAATGAATGCATGATATGACGAACGAACGCACCTTGCAAACCGCTCCAGACCACGCGATAAAGACAATGTGAAGTGCACGCACTCCCCTATAAAGCCATTCACTACTCAGCACGCCACACAACACACGCCCTTCCTTCCATTGCAGCACCCCCCACCACGCCCCAACTCCAAAATGCCATAATCCACCACCCAGCACCCCCAGGGCGCATTCACGCGCAAAGCGACCTACCTAGCGCGCTGAGATACTCCTACTCCTAGGCCATCTGCATGCAGGGGGCTGTATCTCTGGAGTGCCGCCTAGAGGAAGGGAGGGGAGGGGAGGGGACAGATAAGTGCGCCAACCGTCGGTAGTGAGTTAGGTCAGGGCGTTACGGGGTAGTAGTGATGTGGTTTTGATAGGTATAGCTATAGCTGTATAAGCCGTAGGGGGAAGGGCTGTGTGTTCCCCTATCCGCAGCTCCCTGTCCCTTGCCCTGTCCCTGCCCTGCCCTGCCCTACCTCTCCCGCATGAGTAGAGTACCACGCCACGCCACGCCCACGTCCACTGTCCAAGCCAAGCCAAAGCAGAGGCACCACCCACATTACCGCTGCTAGTGATATCTCAAGGAAATAGCAAATAGGAAACTCCAACTCCAACTCCAAGCCCAACCCAAGCCGGTACAATCACCACGCCCTCATCCCCTCACTCTGATAGCACTAGAGGGAGATTCCTCCCACGACGGCGGTTGCGCGTGCTGTCCCACAGGCCGCAACTCCCTCTCTGTTTCCTCCACCTTGACCACAATCTCCTCTCCAGACGCAGAGCTCGAGCGATGCCGCCGGATGCGCGCTTCCTTGGCTTGCTCTTCGGTGGCAGGGATTGCACGTTTGCGTTTGGTTGAGGGGGAGGCTGGGTCTGTGAGGGGGTGGGTGAGACCTTGTTTGGTGTCGGGGTTTGGCTCTGTGCTGCTCCTGGCTTGGAAGGACGCGAGCAGGTTCTGCCGCTCTGTTTCCTCCTCGTCGTTTTCGGCAGGTAAGATTGGAAGGGCAACGGGGTTTGGAGGAGCCGGTTCTGGAGGGTTCCAAACTTCCAGTCCTTCATCGTCACTGGAAGAATCGTCGCTGGAAGAATCGTCACTTGGTGCGTAGAACTTGGACTCGGTAGGCGATCGTCTGCGGAAGGAATTTGGGGGAAGCACCGAGCCGCCAGTTGTCGGGGAAGCGGATGTTTGCTGCTTGCTTGGTGTGAACAGCGGGAAACGGATTGGCCATCTGTTCGCTGGTTGTAAAATCCCTTCGACAGTGGCTGATCGCTGGGCGCTCGGCGTATCAGCTGGGTCATGGTCTTCATCTGACTGGCGCGGTGCTTCTTCACTTCCATCTTCCATCTGGCTGGTTGTGGTACCCGGTTGTATCGTCCCTTTCAAGTCTGGGAGACCTTCGAGGAATTTCCATACAACTTCCCAGTTCGCCTTATTCAATCTCAAATCTTGTAGCTCCTGTCGGAGGGTACAACGCAAAAACCGAATATCGCCCAACAGAAGAGAGTTACTTCGAGTCTCGCCGTACATAAAAATAAGAACGGCACAGGAGATGAGCTCGACAGGCGCAAAAACCTTGCTATGCACATAACCATTGTTCCGGAAGGCTTGTGGTTCCTGGGCCACCAATTCCTTGAACGTCGTGAACACTCGGAAAAAGTGTGCCTTAGATTGAGCATCAAAAGCGGAGTGGTTTTTCATAAGACTCATGACGCCTGTGAGAGGGTTGACGAACTTCGGCTTGCCGTCGGGCGAGCTGGGATACAGCACTTCAAGAATCTGGGCGAAACAGAGGAGTGTATGTCTGAACCCAGAGGAACGCTGGCTTCGTGCCAGCTTTATGACTTCAGGGAAGTCTTCTTCAAACGCCTTGGCATAAGTCTGCCATGGGCCGGTCGTAGCTCTCAGTCTCTCCGCGGTGGAGAGCTGAATACCCTTCTGGACTCGCGCAAACAAGTCTTCTTCTTGTTCTGGGAGGAGTTTCGTGTACTCGCAGCATATCAATTTTTTGTCCATGAACGCTTTCTTGACATGGTCAGGAAGCACACGTAAGGTACGATGTCTGCTGGTTGTCTGGAAGTACCTAAAGGCTGTTAGACAAGTGAAACTTGATGAAGAAATTGTCAAGTATACCAAGTTGCCCCAGCGTTGTCATGACAAGGGATGTTCCCATCTACAAATGCCATGATCGAGGAAAGGCGTTGCTTCCCATCTACACAGACTCGTGTCCACTTTGGTCGGCCCTCGGCATCTTGCTCACGGGTCTTGTGAAAAATGATTGGTGGCACGTAGAAGTTTTCTATCGAACAGATTAGCAAAGCGCATGTTTGGTGATGCGACCGACTTACCGAGGAGCGAGTCAATCAGTCCAGTCATTCTTACTGTCTCCCAGACCACCTGCCGCTGGTAATCGGGGTCTAAGACGAGGTTGCCAGAGTCCAATAGAGCTGCGTCTTTTGTTAGAAAGCCAAAGTGAAGTTTGGTTGGTGAAAGCTACCCATTAGTTCTTTAAGAGTTCTTTGCATCACTCTGTGATCTTCTAATGGCGTCTTCGAAACGAACTGTAAGCTGGGCTGTTCGTTGTTCGCATCATCCTCGTAGGTATCTTTGTCGGAATATGTGTCGCTCTCGTATTTAGCCACATCCATATCAGAGTTAAGCTCAGATGCCATGTTGCACAAGTTGGTCAATTGCTGAGAAAAAAAATCAAGGTGCAGTGTTGCAGTCAAATAGATGAGGAAAGTAGGGTGAAAATTAGCCTATACTGAATTCGTACTAGCGTCACTCTACTGCTCCCCAGGTGTTCTTTCCTACCTAGAAAATAAGATGCCCAGAGCAGTTCCCCCACATCTATTAAGAAAGAAGAGTATAAAATAAAATTAATCTAAGTCCACCTCATATATACTATCTAATATATATAAGAGTAAACTATACTATATACACGGTAAAGGCGACATCGGTAGGGCATACGTATACTAGCTGTAGCCAGTGGAAAGTACAGTCAAGACTAGCTACAATATTTTAGCCATTTAGCAACTCCCGCCATTGAAAGGTGTTCAAGGTATACCTAGGTAGGTTCTTCGTAGTCATTCGCGTACATTTATTGACGACGAATCCGGGTCGCCGCGCAGTGTAGATCATCCGATCATGCCCCTATCGGAAGACCGACCGAACACGCGATGCGCGTGTCCTGGACCCTGCCGAGATCGCATGCTCCAAACTCTCCACCGACACGCAGCACACCAGCCATGGACGCCTTGCAGGCTCTGGTCGAGGACCTCTTACAGCAGCATTTGCTTGTTGCCGCTGCTGCTGGTGCGCTAGCAGTCGTCTACCTCCTTGTCAAACTCCTCCACGACACCGAGCCCGCAAAAGATTATCAGGTCACGCCGCCAGAGCAATGCCAGCCGGGGTGGAAAGGAAAGGTGCTTGAGGGACCGTCACTGAAGGTATGAGCTCCGCATCTATGTATGAGAGCCGCCTTGCTGATTTTCCCGCAGGCTCCTGGCTCCAATGACATCCAATGCTATTGTCCCGCGACCGGCGAAGCTCTGGGCACGATCACCCCCGCGACACCGAAGGATATCGACAGCGCAGTTGCACGGGCGAAGGCGGCGCAGGAACAATGGCAGCATACGACCTTTGCGCAGAGGCGCCAGGTCTTGAAGACGATGCTCAAGTGCGTGGACACCTTGTTGAGGGCGCGGAACAGGCGCTGATCACGCCACAGATTTATTCTCGCGAACCAGAAGACGATATCGACCGCTGCGTGCCTGGACAGTGGCAAGACGCGTGTGGACTCCAGCTTCGGCGAGATTCTCGTCACGGCGGAGAAGCTCAGGTGGACAATCGATCATGGCGAGAAGGCGCTGAAGCCTGAGAGGCGTCCGACCAATTTCTTGATGATGTACAAGATAAACGAGGTCAGATGGGAGCCTCTGGGCGTGGTGTCCGCTTGCGTGAGCTGGAAGTATGTACAACTCCTGCCAATTCGTATGCGTTAAGCTAACCAACATCTTCAAGCTATCCTGTAGGCACCACCTGAACGCGACCACCTCTTCCAAACTGACGATTCCCAGTTCCACAACCTCCTCGGCCCCATTATCTCTGCTCTCTTCTCCGGAAATGCCGCTATCGTCAAGGTTTCCGAGCAAACGTGCTGGTCCTCGCAATACTTCATGCAAATCGTCCACGGCGCCCTCACAGCCTGCGGCTACAGCTACGCCAGCGACCTCGTCCAGTCGCTCGTCTGCTGGCCCGACGTCGCGCCACACTTCACCTCGCACCCCGGAATCGCGCACCTGACGTTCATCGGCTCGCGCCCAGTCGCGCTCAAAGTCTGCGAATCGGCCGCCCAGGCCCTGACGCCCGTGTGCGTCGAGCTCGGCGGCAAAGACGCGGCCATCATCCTCGACGACGTACGCAACCTCGAAAAAGTCGGCCACATCATGCTCCGCGGCGTCTTCCAAGCCGCCGGCCAGAACTGCATCGGCATTGAGCGCATCATCGCCCTCCCGAACGTCTACGACCGCCTCATCGACTTCCTGACCCCCCGCGTCAAGGCGCTGCGCTCCGGCTCGGCCCTCACGAGCGAGGCCGCCGGCCCCGACACCCCCGCCGTCGACGTCGGCGCCAGCATCTCCGCCGCCGGCTTCTCCCGCCTCGAGAACCTCATCCAGGACGCCGTCAGCCGCGGGGCGCGCCTCTTGGCCGGCGGCTCGCGCTACGCGCACCCAGACTTTCCGCAAGGCCACTACTTCGCGCCAACGCTGCTCGTGGACGTGACGCCCAACATGCCGATCGCGCAGGAAGAGTGTTTCGCACCCGTGATGCTGGTCATGAAAGCCGCGTCCGTGGCCGCGGCCGTCGACGCCGCAAACAGCACGCCGTACGGACTGGGCGCCAGCGTCTTCGGCTCGCGCTCCGCCGACCTGCAGTACGCGGCGCGCTGGCTCCAGAGCGGCATGGTGGCCGTCAACGACTTTGCCGTCTACTACGCCGTGCAGCTGCCGTTTGGCGGCGTCAAGGGCAGTGGCTACGGCCGGTTTGCGGGCGAGGAGGGCCTCCGTGGCATTTGTAATGGGAAGAGCGTTTGTGTGGATCGTTGGCCGGGCTGGATTGAGACGGGCATTCCGCCGGAGCTGCAGTTGCCGGTTAGGAATGCGAAGAGGGCGTGGGAAGTCGCGTGTGGTGTTGTCGAGTTGGGGTATGGGTTGGGGTTGGGGCAGAAGACGAAGGGCTTGAGGCGCATTGTGGGGTTGTAAGTAAGTGGTATGTGTGGGAGCGGGTGAGCCTTCTTCTGCTTCGTGTCTGTGTGGAGGCATGGGGCTTTGTGGATATGTTTCTGTGTAGGTGTTTAATCTTGTACGCACGCTTTGTCCTTCTTGTCTGCAGTTGTGTCTCGTGTGTTATACTTACCGGATCTTCCACTTGGGTATGAAGGTAGGAACATACGAAGTTATGAAAGCACTCTTGAAGAAACATAGCGGTTCAACCAATAGACAAAACAAGGAGAAGAGAGTAGTTGGAATAGAACAATTTACTTGGTACAAATTCTGCTGCCCTATTTCTTGATGGATTCAGCCGTCTCCGGCGCCGGTTCCTCTACGGTCACCGGCTTCTTTTCCTCTAGATAGTTTGTTAGTACCTATGAAACCTTTCTTTTGCTTGGTACCTATGGACTTACTGGTCTCGTCCTGGCCTACGCGCACTTTCTTGACCTATAGTCTATGTCAGAATGCCATCGGTGACTTGGGTGAGTTGTTACGGACGAGTGGCTCGAGAGCCCTTGGCTCCGGCTCAGGAGGGAGGTCATATTCCTCCTCGTCGTCAGACTGAAGGATGTCATATCAGCACTTCTTTGTATAGACTGACTGCTTCACAAACCTCTACAAATGGAAGATTGGGCGGCGCACGCGCCGCCGGAGCAACCAGATCCATGGAGACGTAGCCCTCTCCCTCCCAGAAGTAGACCCTGCCGGGTGGATCCCTGTTAACCTCAATCAGTACGGACACGTTCATTCTCATCTGCTTGGATGTATTCATACGGCCTTCTCTGGACGCGGAGGCGACGTTGCTGTAGCGGATGCTACTATTGTTGTGTCATTGTGTTGTGAGGGTGAGATGGTGAGGGAGAGAGACGTTCGTGCGACGAAGGTTTCTGTGCGGAAGAGTTTCAGTTCCTACATCAGGCAGGCATGTGTCTGGTTGCGCATCTGGGTTGCGTCTTGGCACACGTCGTGCCTTCCTTATCTTGATTTCTTTCAGTGACTGCACTTAGACCTCACCGGTTCTTAACACACCATGCATCGGCTATTTTTCAAGGAGTATTTGCGGCTCCAGAAGACTGATCATGCTTTTACGGTAGTGTCGCACTCTAAGGAAACAAAATATGATATAAACATGAAGTAATGCCTGCTTCACTGGATGACACTTCGGCCTACGATCCTTGAAGACGTTAAACAGAAGTAGATAGACTACTTCAACTAACTAACTGTGAAGCTGGGCGCGAGGAATTGGACGCCGCTTGTCCTCCTAAATTACTACTACCTAT